AACCAAGGCCTATCACTGACAACTTCAGGTCAATGTTAAACTCTCATCACTTGTGACCTTCAGATTCTTTGGAGCCCAGTTAAATACTGTGTATTGAGCAGCTGGACATAGTAATAGATATTTAAAGGTTGGTTTTGCTGCTGATTCTGAAAGAAGAGGCTGCATAGATCTTCTCTGTTGGCTTATCAAGTAGTACACCACCTTGAAGCAGACACTGTGAATATAGCTGAGGCTGGGAGACTGGTTTTTGCACAGGGAGAAAAAAAGGAAGCAAAAAGTCCAAGTGTATGGTGCAACAGATATTTTTCCTGGAAAAATAAATATTCTGCCAACTTTTTAATTCTGTTGGTACAGAGGCTCTTTAGGCTTGACTCATGCTTGGTTTGGCATTTCACTGTATTCATGACCTATCTTAGACACATAAAATAAAAATTATCTGGAACTCAGGCCAGACCAGGCACTGTTGATGATGGCATCCTTTAGTTCTGGCAGGAGTCAAGGGCCTCTTAAACCTGGCCAGAAAGATGATTAACAAAATTATGAATATTTTTTTTAACTTCACAGTTAAAACTGCAGGCATTTCAAGGTGCCTTCTTTGTGTTTGTACTTTATTTTCCTTCCCTTCTGGCAGAGACTTCTTTTTTTCCATCTATTCCTGCATCCTTCCCCATTCACATGAGCCAATATAACACAGCAAATTAGGTCACAGGCGCTTGCAAATACTGCTTTTGCTACTTCCCTCTAAATGTGGGGAAAAAAAAAAGGGGGGAAGAAAGATTGCCCCAAAAAAGGGAACACCATGAAATAACCCTGCAGTTACCATTTACTCCACTGTTTCAGCAGCAAAAAGGAAACAGGAGGAGGAGGGAAAAAAAAAGAGAAAAAAAAACAAGAAAAGGAAAATGCTAATTTCTGTTAGTTTCAGCAATGGTCCCCTTCTCCCTGCCCCACAATTTCGAAAAAAGTGAGTTTGTTTTTTATTTCTTTGGCGTTTTTCTCCTTCTCATTTACAATTTGACCAGCTCTAAAACCTACCTTGAATTTCAGGAAGACTGGGCTAGAATATTGTGCATTGTCTACCCATTTAAAAGATATTTTAAAATCCCTAGATCCAGTGCTGATCTCGATTTTAGAAAGAGCAGAAGCAGAGCTGACTAGCATTTTTATATTTCCTTTCAAGCACTGTTGTGTTTTGGTTTTTTTTTTTCTCTGTGCTCTGTGGTTTTATTTTTTTTCTCACTGTGCTCTGAGGGTCTTTGAGACTTCCTACGACTTGGCCATCCCACCCGTTGGCTTACCCGATGGTGGAGTTCAGAAAACCAGTGATCTCTGAGAACTGGGGCCAGTCAAGCTCATCGGTGAAAGCCGTTGGGAGATTAGCAAACGACTTCTGAAAGATAAATTTTTTAATCAACATGGTTTCACCCTCACAGACAAGAATTCCTTTCAGCAAACTCGAGCAATTCCTAGCTGGAGCATTAGCCGGACAGCAGCAATTGTCACTAGAGCTGTGGTGGTAATTATTTATGCATATACTTAGAAGTTGGCGCTTGTAAGATGGGCATATCAAGAGACAGAGGAAAGAAAAGCAGAAGAGAGATCTGAACTGCATCTCCTGCCACCCTTTAATTCTGGAAGAGCCTAAACCTCTTCCTGATGTGGAGCACGTATCGCAGGTGCAGACCACCAAGGCGCCAGCTGCTTGCTGCAGCGTCCGTCCTGTCCAAAGGTGGGTCTCCTTGGGCACAGGGAGAGATGACAGCATGATGTCCCCACTGTATATGGCAGAGGGTTAACATCAAATTCACTCAGAGCTCCCTCGTCCTCTCCAGCAGGATGAACTGTGAACATCCAGCCCTCTAAAAACATCTGCCTGGTCCTCACTGCAAATTTTGGGGACCAAGCAGAAGCGACAGAGTCAGAAAGGCCCCTGAGCACGGCAGTGACCAGGGAGAAAAACACATGGGCTGCCATAACCTTCCCACGCAGACAGGTCCAACCTTTACCCTTCTTTGCTTTTGCTGGTATCAGTCCCTAACACTTTTTTTAAGCACCTGCCTCTGCGAAAGCCTCTGTGCAGATGCCAGCCATGATGCATATTTGAAACACAGTGCCCTGATCGTCTCCACTTTTATTTGTGAATGTGTCAAAAACCACGAAAGACAAGAAAAGCCTGGAGAAGAGGAGGCTCTCAGCCTGGAGAAGAGGAGGCTCCGGGGTGACCTTATAGCGGTCTTCCAGTCCCTCAAGGGGGCCTACAAGAAAGATGGGGAGAGGCTGTTCAGGAGGGCCTGTTGTGATAGGACAAGGGGGAATGGTTTTAAAATAGAGGGAGGGAGATTCAGATTGGATATTAGGAAAAAATTTTTTACCATGAGAGTTGTAGAACACTGGAACAGGTTGCCCAGAGAGGTGGTGGATGCTCCCTCCCTGGAGACGTTCAAGGCCAGGTTGGATGAGGCCCTGAGCAACCTGATCTAGTTGGAGATATCCCTGTTCCTTGCAGGGGGGTTGGACTAGATGACCTTTGAAGGTCCCTTCCAGCCCTAACCATTCTATGATTCTATGATTCTATGAAAAACGAACTTAAGAAATTGCACCACCTCAGAAGGATGAGAACAGGGAGTAAATTTTCAGCTTCTCCTAGTCCGGGGTACGCTTGCAAAGCCAAATGCATAAATCTGATGTGCTAATACCGAAAAACTGTTGATGAAAAAGGTAATAACCAAAAGAAGGTCAAAACATAAAATCAGAGAACTCATAGGCCAGTTTCATCTGTGCAATTTATTCTCTTCATTTTCTTTTCAAGCAATTGTGGGGTTTCCTTAAACCCTCACTGCTGTAAGCAGCAAGCGTGTGGGTAATTCTTTCTCCAGGAGGGTCAGAGGTCACAGAAGAGCTGAGTCTTGTAGTCCCCACCAAGTCCTCACTCCCACAAAATTATTGTTTTGGTGAGCAGGAGCTATGCTTGACTATATGACTACAGGTTTTGTCTAAAAGAGGATGAGGGAGACGCAGGGAGAGGGGAAGGGAGGTGAGAAAAGGCAGGTTTGGGGGGGAATAAATCCTGAAGCCAAGCTCTGAGCAGCCCGATGCCCAGCAGATGCCAGTTTCAAGCATGCAATAGCGTATTTGACCTACTTACAGCAGATCTGCATTAGTTACTGAGGTGAAAATGGGTCTGGCTTAATTATTTTTCAGTTGGTTCTCTCTCATATATATGCGCGTGTGTGTCCTTGTGTGTATCTGTATATACATATGGATTTTAAATAATTTTTTTTTTTAAAGATTGGAGGGAACTTCCAAATCTGCCTTCTTCAAATCTGATGGTTTTGTGTGCAAACAGGCCCTTAATCCACAGCTATGGGCAGAAGTGGAGGGGTACGGCATAGCTTGGCCATTTGCAATATTTGCCTCCTTGTAGCTTTGCACTAAAGGTCACAGAAATATTGAAATAGTCACAATAGAATAGAACAAATTATAGATACACAGAATCACAGAATGTCAGGGATTGGAAGGGACCTCAAAGGATCATTTAGTCCAATCCCCCTGCTGGAGCAGGACCACCTAGATCAGATCACACAAGTCACAGCATGTAAGAGTTAAAAAAAGAGCCCAAAAGTGATGAAATATTTTTAAAGCAAGTCCTTCCATGACCAATTCTCTCATATTTCCCATTAACACTCCAAAATAATATTTTCATTTGATAAGTTCTAATAATTTTTAACTATTTTTTATTTTTCCCCTGCAAACTTAGCTTAAATATGAATTAGTCAGAACCTAATTGAGTTTCAAATTGGTTTGGAAAGGAACATTTAAGCCCAGATTACAGTTGCATTTGAAAACTGTATATATGTTTAGCATTGACACTGTTCCAGCAAAGCACTTAAAGCCAGACTTTTGAAGATATTTCAGGATGAAAGGGTGAAGATGAGTAGTTAATGCAAATTCCAGAAAGATGCTAGACCTCGAAGTCTGCAAGGATGGAATTTGGAAAGCATGGTCTAACAGACTGTGTTTCACTTAGTCTCAGATGCAAACGTGTCCCACTCTAGAGGTGGATCTATGTTGACCTTCAGCTTAAAACTCTTCTGAGCTCAGCCTTGTTTAAATACCATTCTCTAGACTATTCTGGCTGAGAAACCATGCTCCAGCCTACGTGCCAGATTATAGCAGAGAATGATTAGAAAGTTATTCCAGCCTAGCTTCAAATGCCGTATTTTAGCCTCAAATGCTCTAGATAGGTCTCATTTCAAAGGAACATCCTTACCTCCTAGGTGTGTCCTACCTTGAAATACATTTCCCCAAATCCTCCTGCTTCTCTTACACTGGGCAGCCAAAGCCATGGCTGATGGCAAATGTACACACACCAAACTGCACTGCGCCAAGTTAGCTTAACTGGTAGAAGGTTCAGGGTTGCTATGGCAGGAGATTTTCAAAATCAGGACACAAAAGGGCACTGGAAACCTAACGCTCATACCAGCCTTTAGACATGGAAGTTGCAGAAATCCTGAAAGCACTGAAGTATCCCTTAATTTGAAGGGGAATCAACTATTTGTTTTTTATACTGTCTTGAACGATGTTCAAAGGCTCAAGATGGCATTAAGTACCGCAGACGACTTTCTTATTCTAAGTACGTTTCTTATTCTAAATAAGCAAGCCTTAGAGCTCTTGAGGAAAGCACAGTCTATCTTTTTAAAAAGTATGTATGGCATTTCTACTGTGGAAAGCTGCAAGGGACATAGGTTTGAAATTAGCAAAATTATTACTTTATTTCCCCAAAAATGCAGCATCTCAGTCATCACAATACTAGCTGGGAGAAACTTGCCTGCAATTCACTGGATTCAGAGGGAAGCCAGAGAATGTTCACAGATCAAACTGCCGTTTTTTCTAGTGGTGCAAAAAAGAGAAGCCTTTGGGATAAGTGTTCGGGAATTCCTGAACCCGCATTTAAAGAAATGCTGAATTCTTCTAACAGGAAACATATCGTATAAAACAGTTGCTTTTAATGAAATCTGAGAACCCCTTGAGTTTGTGGGCAAACAGATATTTAGATAGGGATTACAGATAGATGTGGGATTTATTTTTCTCTTTATTCACCATGAAATAGGGATCCACGAGTTTTAAAATGCATCTTCCTAGAAAGGGCATCATTTCCAGCACATTTATAAATACAGTGCCTTTATCTCCAGATAAAATCGTCTCTAAAATGAGATTTAAAAGTAAGCTTCTATCCCAGACATACAACAGAAAAATGCTGCATTTAGTAGCTATTTGGAAGTCAATTGTAAGCAGATGGACAGAGCAGCAGGAGCACAATATCCATCGCTAGACACACCAGTGTTTTCAACATTAGCTTCCTGCAAAAAACATCCACCTCAAAAAAGAAACCCCAGTATTTCTTCTGCTTTGCTAAACCTCACCAAGGGCACGTCTACTGCATCACATTTCATTTTTACTGTCCGAATTCTCGGGTTAAAGGAATGAACATTCAGCTCAATTCTTGCTGAACCTTTTAAAAGAAGAAAAGCCTGACAAACCCAAAACCTATTGACCAGCAGAAAGTCAAAATAAAGTTGATTCATCCCCTTCTTACAGCTATATAATTCTCTTCCTGTAATCATACTTTGGGTGTTTGGGGATTTACTGGAGTGATGGCAGGTTAAGGACAGAGCCACGTGCTCAGCTGCCTCTGCAGGAACACAGAACCACAGAATCAACCACCCTAAAGATCATCTAGTTCCAACCCCCCTGCCATGAGGAGGTACACCTTCTGCTAAATAACGTTGCTCAAAGCCTCATCCAGTCTGGCCAACATGCAGGCAAGTATCCTCAGTGATGGTCCCAACACCATTTTCTCTGTGCTGCTGCACCTCAGCTAGATCCCTGTAGGGCAGGCTTTGGGGCTCAGCAGTACCAGGTTGATGAAAAACTTCAAAATCAAGGTACTTGTGACTTCCTCTAGTGCTTCATAGAATGAGCTGGATTTTTTTTTGTTGTTTGTTTGTTTGTGTTTTGTTTTTTTTTTTTTTAACTGGAGAAATAACATGCCTGAGCTACAGCTTTCAAAGACTTGTCCACCTTGTGATGGACATTTTCCACACCAAGAAGTGTCTCTGTATGCTCTTTATGGGAAGGACATACTCCATGAGGGATGATAAATGTGTTTGTAACTGGTTCCTAGGTAAAGGCTTTGGAAATAGCACTGGAAAACACGAGTCCCCACTCTGATATTGCACACGTCTGAAGCTTGGTGACAGATGAAACGGGCTGGGAGTGCCTGCAGCTGCATCAGTGCAGGCAGGCTGGTGCTCAGGTGCTTGCAAGTTCCCTAACCCACCACAACACAGCCTCCTTGACGAATGCAGGAACATGATTCAGGTCTCTGCGTTTGGTCACTTAGGTGTAAGAAAACAGGAAGACCAGGAGGGCACTAGGGGACTTGGTATGGGACAAGTGAGTGATGCAACTGGATGCATTCCTTGACATTGGATTTATGACAGGAGCATGTCTCCCTGCACTGGATTACATGGTGGGTTACATGTGAGAGGCCAATACTAAGAGGGCAGTAAGTTCCCAATTAGACTGGAAAATCTAAAATCCAGTATATAACAGCTTCCCAATGACGGTCTTTGAGACCATGGCACGAGCATCTCAATTCCAAAGCTGTTCAGCCCAGATACTCATCTAGTCATCCCTGCGCTAATCATCTGGCTACCCAAATGGCATCCTGAGCCTGCTTCAGTACGGAAATTTCTCATTCACATTCTCTTTCTTCCCTCGCTCATCATTACTGCTTCTTTGCATGGCAGGCTATGATGCACAGCATAATCAGGAAAGCAATCATTCTGCAGAGTCTCTTAACTAAATTCTCAGTATCTCTCCAGAAAAATTATTTTCCCACCTAATTACAGTGTTAAAACAGGAATGAACAGCTGCCACTGATTAATAGAAGAGCCCACAGCATTGTTACCAAGTGTAAATTTTACTTCACACTTGTATATGTAAACATGTATAAGGATAAATAAATAAGAAATACATGAAATATATAAAGTGTATAAAATAGATAAATAAAAATATAGAAAAACATTGAAGTAATACAATAATGCACTTAAATCTGAATTAACAGGCACATAACTTTTTCCTTGTACACATGATAAAAATCATGGACGGGGGGGAAGTCCTATTTGGAATTCCATGTAGAGGGTTGAGCTTCCATTGAAATGGAAATTAAAGCTTTGAACTGGCTCTAGTATTGACTGTAGAGAAAACCATTTGATAAACTAATTGTTCTGTGTGTCTTATCAAAGAAATTTTCGCAGAATCAAGGCGACGTGTCTTGAGTTCGACAGCACGAGGCAACTGCAGGTGCACGAGGCTAATGCCTCATCCTCCCCTCTCAGAGCCCTAACTTTCCTACTTAAGGTGAGCTGCAAATTAAATCACTTTTTGCTGTTGCTAGAGTTTAAACACAGATACTACTTTTTTTTTACACGACTGAACTCTCTATATCTCCGCATTAATATTTAACTGCTGTATTTTTGGCAGGTCCGTAGGAAAGCTTGCAAATAGTCCTAGAAAAGGACTTGTTCTTTCCCATCCTGAACCTCACGCATCCCAGATGCCCGGGCAGCTGTGCAGGGCACTGCTGTAGAGCTCAGCCAGCTGCAGGAGGCTGTGTTTCTGCAAAGTAATTAGCCCAGCCCTGCTCTGTCCCGGGTAGCTATATCCAACTTTTCCAAGTTCCTCTACATCACCAACATACCATGCCGTACCCCTGTCAGAGTTCTGTCTGACACTGCCAAGCTCGGGGTGCCCAGCATCTGAAGGGACGTAAGGTTGTCCCTACTATCTATCCTCTCACCTTCTTTTGCTAGCTCCAGTAAGTGGCATTTTAAGCAATACCTTAATGCATCCCTTCCTTGCTGGACTCAGAACAGACACCAGCCCTGTACTGGTGCACTGCCTTGTACTGGTGCACGAGAGATGTCTCTCCTGGGACCGGCTTGCAGTGGCTCTGGGTCTGCATGCGAAGTCCAGGCTTCTTTTTTACTTGTATATTGTATTTGGCTTCTCCAATTCCAGTGATGTCTAAACTCCTTTTATTTTATATACTGCGAGTGGAGTGACTATGAAAGGCCGGAGAGTGAACACATCTCTCCCTGCCCTCCTTGCCCCAGCGCAGGGCACTAGCTCTAGCCTGGAGTCACCCTTTCTGCAAGGGAAAGCAGCCCACCTTTCCAACTAGTCCTTGATCTTCCCCACATGCTGGCCAGATGGAGTTGAGCACTGAAAGCACATATTTGTTGGGCCTCACACAGAGAGCACCGGTTCCCTTCCCATGCAAGTTGCTCCACACCCATCAGACATCAACAAGGTGCCATCAAAACTCACTTTATAATCTGCCCTCCAGCTGCTGACCTTGAAGCTTCTGCCTCTGCATGCCATTACCAGCCCTCGACCCATCCGTCTCGTGGACCAGCAAGCTTCAAGCAAGAAAAATGCTTTCTAAACCTTCACTACAGTGATAGTAAAATGCTGACATAGTCTAAAACTATTCTTGCCTACACATTTCTGCTACCAGCGTTACTGCCAGAATCATCATCACCGTCAGTATTATTACCATCTTTATTAGACAAGATAATCTCAATTATCATTAGTGCTAATTTATTATGCTCATCATCAGCTCTGTCATCAGTGTCATTCGTCTAATTGTTCCTCATAAACGTTTAACAAAGGAAAACAACTGCTAATCTGCAACATCTAAATCAGCACAGCTCTGGGAGCAAAACTGGGAAAATACATGAAACTCTCAGACCTCCAACAGCACTGTAACTACGGACATTTTGGAATGAGTATTCTTCTCCAGAAAATGTCCACATCCTTCTTCCACAGATACTAGTGGAGAAGTAGCAGGTTTTCACCAGGGAAGGTGGGCAATGACGATGTATCTGCTCACCCTAGTGCAAAGACCCTTGTGCAGAGCAGGACAACGCGCAGTCCTCCCTGGCCAGGGATTGACACCGGCTCGAGATGGGAGCGAAGGACAGGAGTACACCTGCACGTTTATCTCCACCCCCCCAATTGCAGTTTGCTGGAATGATCTTTTCCCCTCAATTATTTCATTCCACGCCAGAGAACTGCAACAGCTGAGGCTCAGCATAATTCACAGTCAGGCGCATTTTGCTGTTGTTTGAAATTGGGATACGCTGGGACGCTGCCCAAAGATAGACATCAGTGTGGTCGTGATATTTTACGGTCACTACAGAAACACTTCCCTTTAGGATGAGTCCATTATAAACCCTTGGATGACCCTCGAACACCTGCAGATATATTTGTTCAACAAGCCTCAGAGCCTGAACACTAGACCCACTTCCCATATCCCACAGATGAGGGAAAACAATCCAGAACACATCATTTCAAAGCCAGATGCCTAAACCAGGAGTGCCCGGACTGCCAGCAGGGTCACTTCTCCAACACTTGCACAGCAAGGAGCCATACCAACAAGCCTGCTAACGGCAGGACGGAACCACGGGTCTCGTGGAGCCGCAGGCACGTGCATGGAAAGCCAGATGTCCTGGTTTGTGTCTCTGGCACAGCGCTGGGCCACCGAAGCCAAACTCCTTCCTGACCCAATTGCACAGATGTCAGAGGAGCGGCGGTAGCACTGGGCTGTGATTTTTTTGTGAGCGGGAGGGGACTGACACCCAGGAGACCATAACTATAAATTCCAGTGCAATGAGCCATTTCGCACGTGTTTCCCTTTGGCCACCTGTGGCATAGGGGAGAAAGCAAACGGCAACCGGCGGCGTAGCAGTTTTGGCAACCCGAACGTGGTTCCTCACCGCTGACATCTGCGCGACGGTCATCCACTCGGGAGGGATGTGGAAGTGAGCGCCGGCCGAGTCTCCCAACAGCACGACCCCTCGTGAGTCCGCACCTAATTAATGCATTTTGTTAGTCGCATGAGCAGAAAGAGCCAACGGAAGCAGAGCGTGGAGAGCAACGCTTAAAGAGCAACGGCCACGGAGTCATGGGGTGACCAGCTACACCACTCTTCACGTGGCTGAAACGTTCAGGCTCTGCAATGGGATTTTCGCTCCATCTGCAGCGAAAAAAATGACTATCAGGAACATGCCAACAACCCTAGAGAAAGAACTGGGGGCTGGGCATGAAAGACAAGGAGAGGTCTTGCTAATCAGAAAAAATCCTGGTTGTATTCGAGGATGGATGTGTAATTTCAGCAGAGGCTCTGCTGTGCAGCCAACATTTATTTTTACTATCCGTAAGAACATGCATTAAAAAGTACTTAAACATTCAGGGAAATCGGATTACTCAGGAAATTGCTCAAAGCTCCTTATGAGAGAACTGGGTGGTGGACGTGCTACTCGTACGAGTATTTCTGCTAGAACAATCTGACCGGTTTATAATTAACGTCACTTAGCATTTGTAGATTGCCTTTCATCTAAAAATCTTGAAAAGTCTTGCCAGGCAACGGCTCATCTCCAGGATGCCAACTTAAATGCAAGGCAAGGTAGCCACCAACAGTAGCCATGGCTGTTTGCTAAGAGAGTTATTTGTGTATATGCATATACCCAGGCACGAGGTCAGCTGCTGCCATCACTTCACCTCTTTAAGGTCTTCTCCAGAAAAGTATCAGCATGATTGCAGGTATTTACAGCGACAGGTCAAACCAGTTAAACTGCTCTGCCAAATGCCAGGGCCATCCCTCCAGGTTAGGCTTGAGGCACCACAGAAGGTACAGAGGTGATATCTCTGCTGCTGTCGCTCATCTACGTACTTCAACTTAATATCTGTGCTGGCTTTTAACAGGAAATTACCAGCAGCCTGTGCTTTTCATGTTTCATCTTTGTCCATCCTCAAGATAAAAAATAAAATAAATTTGTTTTGCCATTTCACCTTTCTTAGGAAGTTGTAAACCCATTGTCTTTCGCCTACATCGGCAACGACTGTGAAAATATTAAAACATTTATTAAACGAATACGAAAGACACGTTGTTTCTTGCATTGACTGTAAAGGCTTACCTTTGCAGAATTTCTCCTCATAGGGAATTCCATCTTTTGGATCCACGCCCTGTTGGAGGAGAGAAGGGGCAGATGACAGCACCCATCTAGCGCGTGAAAAATGGCAGTGAGAAATAGAGGCTGCGAATTTAGTTCTTGATTTTTGCCTGCAGCAAGCACTGCATCATAATAATGATGCTTTCCATTACTTTATTTTAATAAGTATATGTACATTTAAATTAATTATAATCACTGTAATTTAAATAATCATAAACATCAATAAACAAACTTCGCTCATAACTGCTTCCTCTATGTTCCTTTAGTTTTTAATAAATACAGCTTTATTACTTGCAATATCAAAGGCAGTAAATAAACAGGAGTAATCCAAATCAGTTAATAAACCAGAATAAATAAAAAAGAAACATTTGCAGACTAATTCAAAAGGAGGAAAAAAGAGAAGCAGCAATCAGGAAGGAAATATAAGACTCAACCTCATTTACTTACCCATATGCCATTGCAGTTAGAGTCACTTTCCACATCCCAATTATCAGGACTAAAACAGAGTTACAAAAGGATACACAGTGTTACAGAAAATGAAACAAAAGAGGCTTTTGAGGAAATCAGATCCTTTGTGCCATTTTTCACTAAGAATATGAAATAATTAGAAAGTCCTTTCTGCACAAAAGGGTGTTTTTTCCCCTCTTTGAACCCAGGAGAGGCAATTTTTCCTAGCAAAATGCGATATTAATTTAAAGTTAATACTGAAAGTTGCTGAATGAATTTCACCCTTTTAGTCTGCATACTCACTTCGGTGAAGTGGATGGGATGATTTTTGCAGAAGACAGACCCTTTTTCCCTGCCCTTTTCCTTGCTTTGAAGCGTTCACTGAAATCCCTCAAGCCCCTCACTCCAAATTTGCCCCGGCCCATAGCACAGGATAATTAGCTCAGGTCTCCTCTACAGGGAGACTCCATCTGTCCAGTCTGGCACTACACACAGATGCTGTAAGCCCATTTCTGCTCAGACAGGTGTGTTGGCCACGCTGATGGCACAGGACTCTTCCAAGCCCATGCCCTTAAACTCAGTTTATCTAGTCACAAGCCAGTTAGTGCCCAGGCTTTAAAAACAATCCTGCTCAAGAACTTCTTAACAAACCCTTGGTAGAGGAGAGCTTTATTTTTGAGAGAGTATTTCGAGCACAGGGCAAACTAGCAAGAGCGAGGGACTTTGCTCAGGGCCACGCTGTTACAACTGGTTGTTCCAGGTGTGCATGGATGCCCATGCTCAGGCAGCTGGGAGGTATTCACCTAGAAGATATTCATGTAGAAGGACACATATTTAATTCTACATTTCCACCAACATAAGACGAGGATTGGATGCTGGAGCTCAGCAGCCAGCCATGAGCACCACTGGTTTGCCCTCCTGTCTTCCTGCTCTATAAAGCAGGCACAGTCCACATTAGCTCAAGTGGCATAAGGCTTGTAAGACTCAGTGGCTCGGCTTTCCTCCCCACTTTTGGCCTGTCTGACCAATTTTGGCTGCAGACACTCGAGAGAAAGAAACCTGTGAACCACTCCCCTCATGCTAACGCACCCCATCCCTGGTCTTGATCATCCCCTCTCATCTCCACCACAGGGAAATCAAGCAAGGAGCAGTGACGTGCTCTCTTAGCACATAGCCAAAGCCAAACACGGAGCTCGTTCTCCAAGAATCCACAATGACTAGGAAGCCTTTAAAATAATTAAAAGCTTTACCGTCTGCCAGGGTACACGCTGTTGTTTCTGTCGTTGCAGTCTCTGCCTCGCCAGTGATAGCCCCTCAACGTCTGAAAGCCACGAGAAGCCAAAAAAAAAAGGATGCTCATTGTTACTCTTGCACTTTTAATTTAAAATATCTGAAATGAGAATCTAACTGAAGGTGTAGGAATAAAGCCCAGTAAATGGGTTGTATTCCAGAGTCCCTTTGCTAAGCTTTAATAAATGACACCTTGCACACTCTGGTGCAGAAATAAGACAAGCTGGCAATTTAGTTTGTTTTGTTTTGGTTTTTTTTTTTTTTTATAAAGACTTCACTTCACCTGTTATTAATTCAGTAAGCAGACCACTCAGCAGCAGAGCAATTTGCTTCTGCAGGGAGCACAGCTTTATGCCTGCATCTCCCCAGGTGGCATAAATGAATGATTGTTTTTGCATCCAGGAAAAAAAAACAAACCACCTTTTATGACAAAAACCCCTCCGTTCACTTCACTCCTATATCAATTTTCACATGAATGAACAAGGCTTTGCAGAAAGTAGGAGGAATCCCATAGATATTCTTATTATCAAGGGATTACTGTACCAAAGGAAAGGCTTTGCTTACCGGGAAAGTACTAAATTTATCTCCATCAAAATCTTCAAAAGGCAGTTTATTTCTTATGACACTGTAAAAACCAAAACCAACAAATGCAGTGTTAACATATGAAAGGGAACCTATTCAGAAAGAAAAAAAAACACGTGGTAAAGCATACAGAATAGATAATAGCTGACAGCTCCACATTCAGTTTTAGCTCCATGCTTGTACTTCAGCAAAGTGATCCTGGCCAAAGGAGCAAATTCTGATTTCTTTCAGTATCTGCTGACCGAGCTCTGGAGGTGAGACTGATGCACTCACCTACGGCTGCGATGTCGAACCCTCAGTCTCTAAAACACAGACATCAAAAAGTAACTCTCTCTTTTTGAAATAAATACTACACTCAGCTTGGCAGAAGTCCTTCTATGTGGGAAAGAGCTGCAGAATGGGACCTTGTGCTGATGGAGACTAACGTGCTTTTGTTAAAAACAAATGGCAAATACCCTTTCCTGTATTCATCCCTTAAGTTTTCGCACCGTCTCTCTCCTGTTGTGCTCTCTCAAACTTGCAGTTTGCACAGCAGCCTGCAGCTACACACACACGCACAGGAAAAAGTTTATTTTATAGGGTAAAAGTGGATTTAATATGAAGAAGGACCATACACTGTGAATTCACAGGTGGCCTTATGCTTTAACTGAGGATCAGAGTCTTGCAATTTCTGCATCTAGTCCCACAAACTTCTGGCCTTGCTCAAACATATCCAAGAAATAGCATTTTACCTTGATTTGAGCAACGGAGACCTGAGCCCTCAGTGGTCCCCCGCTGTGCCTAATCACATTAACCTTTGAAAACTAAATCAGCCTTTGAAAATTACATCTCTTTTTTCCATTATGACTTTTGTTTCTGGCAACCCTATAGGTTTTAGCAGTACCTGAAGCAGATGTTAAAATGGTGGTGTCAGCTCTGTGCTCCTTCCTTTTCAGCTTAGACACGCACCAGCTTTCACATGGTGCTGCCCAAGCGTGGCACCTCTTTGGCTACGGGACACAGCTTAGCTCACCTACACTGAGCAGCTTTTCATATTGAGCCCAGCAGGCAGCACTCTTTGAATGATATCCTAATCAATCTTTCCTTGGAAAGTTTTCTTTCTGAGTTTGTCCATCCTCTCGATCTCATGAGAGACGCTGGATCTGGCTTAGAGACCAAAGAGGTGCAATGAGGGTGGATTCCTCAGACTGCATGAGCATCAGGATAAGAAAAAATACAGAGAAGACAGGTGACATGGACTCCTGGTGAGGCTTGTAACCCTTATTCTGTCCGTAATCAACAATTTCCACGTGCTGCTTTGGGCTACTCCTTCTCTGCAGTAAACTTCAGTTGCAAGGAACTGGCACACATCCAGACCAGCTAAAAAAGTCCAACTGCCAAACGCGTTTTTGTGGCTACAGAAAGAAGAGAGGAAAAAATCAAAGAGAGAGAGATAGAGTGCACGAGAGAAAGAGATCAGAAGAGTTGAACACATTCGATCCAACGTATGATACACAATTTGATTCCTGATTCCCCTGTCTGAACTCACAGGGCTCAAACTCTGATTATTTGTCCTGACTCACATTTCAGAGACATTTCATGTTAATCAATCCATTCTCAATAAACTCCTGATATTTGCAGTTTCCATTACATGGGCAGAAATAGGTGAGCAAGTTAGTCTTGGCAGTCAAATCAGTCGAAACACACTACTGGTAATACTGATTTATTCTTAGATTCGCTTGGCTTCTCCAACTCATCAGAGTACATCGACAAAAGCGCTTTAGGAGTAATATCCCAGCTGATGTCCTTGGCCTTTCCCAGAAACTGGTTCAAAGACAGCACTACCATAAGTTGTTTCTCCTGTCTGCCACCCACCTGGCTTTCTTAAACACCTTGAGATCCTCCTACTCTTTGCAACTGCCACTTAATTCATGTTCCTCACAGAGCTATATCAGTGCTGGTGGCCTTCCTGCACTGAGCCATGCGCACCATAACTGGGTGAACAGATGAAATGCAGAAGTCTCTTGGCCTCAGGAAATCTGAGGAGAAAATGGCTTTCCTCTTGGAGATGTCATATCTTTGAGTGTGTCGTGTATTTGACCTCTGGAAGCTGCTGAAATTTTTTTAAGTATTGAAAAAGCACAGGGATCCCTCTAAGGAATCTTACTTACCTGAACTCTGTGCAACCTCCCTCTATGCTACCTGGACAGTAGTTTTATGAAGGAAACCAACAGAAGACAAGTATAGGAAGCTTTGTTAGCAGCAGATGATTATTGAAAGAAACAAATGCACCGTGTTCTGTTCCTGGTTAAGGACTGAAAACTTTATACGTACTATTTCATCTTCTCACACAGGTTAGCCAGAAGAGGAAACGCACATAAACTTGAGAACCCTGTGAAGCTCTTCTGAGAGGGAGAAAAAAAAAAGAGGATGGATGCATTAGTTCATAGGGACGGCACAGCTTGGGATATTCAGTGTCAGTAAAGTCCAGAGCTAAATCACGTATTTTCCACCTAGAAACATCTGAAAACTCCAATGACTCCATTAAGGATGCCACATGCCAGAGGATTTAGACCTCACACAGTAGTCAACTTCAGGATTTTTGACTGAACATTTTATAAACCAACTACTCTCGCTTTCAAAGAGCTGTAAAATTAAAAAGGAAGAAGCTCCTGTGAAACCGTCTCCTCTCATGTACCAAAGTTATTTTTTTTCACTCTTTGTAAAAATTTACTGTTCTCATGTTTGATAAACATGGTGGTATCTGACACTTACTGCAAAACTAGAGAAAGCAACACACTGTGGGCCATAAGGCTGGTTTCCACATGCCTGGGGTGGGGCGGTGAATATGTTGAAGGTCAGGAACAATCCCAACGAGAAGAGAAACGAGTGGATCCAGCATGTGTGTAGAATGCCCCTGATTTTTAATGAGATTTTTACCTGGAAATCTCATAACTAGATTATCTTGGTCAGACCTGCAAGCTGTAAAAGACACCTGCTGCAGGGTAAACTCTTTCAGTACTGGTAGACTGTAACCATGGGCCAATCCCATTGAGGTCCCAAGTAACCAGGAAGCTTCAGAAGCTGAAAGAGACATTGCTAATGAGAGCCCAAGTTATGGAAACATGGTGCTGCATCGGCGATCAACCTCAAAACATGCTGCTAATGGCTTCATTGGAAGTTCAGGTGGTCTTGAAACACCAAGGGCATTCAGGTGGTCTATAAATACAGAGGGCTAGTCAGTGCATGGTCTAATTAACTGTGTTCACTAAAGCTGCATTCAGCACGTAAACGTGGAGCAGATGGACATACGCATAACTTTATGCAAAGAAGAGTAAATATTTATATAATAAATAAGAGCTTAAGAGCCCTATCCTTGAACCAACTCCCTTGTGTTACACACTTTATAGAAACAGGAAAAAAAAAAAGAAGATGGTCCTTGCCCTAATGAGATTATAACTCAAATCTAACATAAAACAGAAGATAAAGGTTGGATACAGCTCAGGAGAGGACAATAAAAGGCTGTTAATCACCATGAGGGGCAGTAGCCCCAGCACATCAAGCTCTAAGTGATGAAGGAGAACTTTGAGGCAGCACTGCAGGGTGGCGGGGTGGTGGTGCTGCAGTGTGTAGGGCACTGCCCCACAGCTCCGGGGATGGCAGGACCGTGTTTGCTTGGACAGGTGACAAGGGGTGATGGAGATGAGGGTCTCTCACTGGCTGGAGCAACGAAGCAGCAAGGTGAAGATGAACAGGAGTGGTGGGAGCCCTGGTTGGGCCAGAACAGGTTGGGGAGCCCTGAAGTGCCAGAGGTGGAGCCATGACAGTGTGCTTTCTGAAGGATGCAACAGAGAAATCAAAGGAGAAAAAGAAAAGGAGGAAAGTCAGAGGGACAAGAGACAAGAAATCTGCAACCCTCCCCCACCAATCAACTTTCTTCAGCTCTGTCCAACATGCTCAAATGACAAGGCTGGAGTTGCATCAGCTTGGAGAGGGCCATGAGGTGGAGGGGGTGTTGGTGGAGTCAAAGGAGAAGCCAGAACACAACTGCAAAAGAAGTGGCTAGAAACGGCCAGAAGCAGCAGGGAGTAGAGCCTTTCCAAGAGCTGAAAGACCAGCCTTGTCCCACCGCTCACCCTCTCCCCCATCCATCCGTATCCCTGTATTTAACCTCTCTGCCTCGGGACTACATCCTGCAGCACGTCAGGGATGCAGACCTCCTCTTTGCTCTCTGTGTGTGCACACACACGCATGGCCAGGCAGGCAGAGAGCACGAGAGGTGTGCAAGCAGGATGCCAGCTCTTCTCAAGGAGCTTTGCGAACCTACGTACGCCTTCCTGGAAAGAGGAAAGAAATCACTTCTCCCACCTCCTCCATGTAGGACTAATCTCAGCGCTGCCTCCAAAAGCACGAGAGGCCCTTAAAGCTTTCCATGGGGTTAAGATTTGCAGTGTCTTCATTTGAGCTGCCGGCTTTTCGCTTCAGTCCAAGTCACAGCACACAAAGTCTTTGGAGTTAAGGCATCCAGAGCTGAAACTGCTCAGGGAAGACAAACTACAGGGCTTGCAATAAATAAATAAATAAATGGAACCTCCTTTCATCCTGCTCGTGGGCTGCATTTAAAGTCTACCCTTTGCTCTAAGCAGAGTAAAATCTTTCCTGCCTTTTTCTCAGCTAGTAATTTAAAAATTGTTGCCGACTGAACCTCCATTAGTTTCAAAGGAAGACAACCCCGCAGCCCCAGAGATTGCCTAAATTTGGTGGGAATGGTCAGCATGACAGTGCCCTGGAAGAGGCATGAGTTGGGCTTTGAGGACCAGCTGCAGCAGCGTCCTGGAGCACAGCAGCCTCTGGCTCCCCAGCCGACACGTCCCCACAGCATGTGGGACAGTGAGATCCGGACATAATGCTCCAGCTCTGCTTGGGAGCATGCAGGAGAGCAGCTCCTCTGCTCTTTGAGGGTGTCTTGGGCTATTTTCAAAAGGCAGTGAGGAGCACAGGGTTAAAAATAGGGATAATCCTTGCGTGTGCATAGGTAAGCGAGAGAGCAGGAGAGGACAGGTGAGCAGGCTCTACAGGGTCCTTCCCAGCAGAGCCAGGCTACAATTTAAATATGTGTTTTTGTGAGGAGATGGGTTACTTGACCCTGCGTAACATGAGTGGATGGACAGGAGACTGGTCCATACCCTGCTCTGCCTTGCAATTCCCTTTTGACACCCTCCATGGCTTCCCACTTCTCCTGCTGCTGGACTGTGAGTTGCAGGCACCACCTAGTCACAACAGGATTGTACACATGGAGCTTGCTGACATTAAATCCATATCCTGGGCTGCATCCAAAGAATTGTGGCCAACATGCCCAGGGAGGGGATTCTGCCCCTCTGCTCTGCTGTGGTGAGACCCCACCTGCAGTGCTGCGTTCAGCTCTGAGGTCCCCCAACATCAGAAGGACATGGAGCTGCTGGAGCGGGTCCAGAGGAGGCCACAAAGATGATCCGAGGGCTGGAGCACCTCTGCTATGGAGACAGGCTGAGAAAGTTCAGCCTGCAGAAGAGAAGGCTCCAGGGAGACCTTCTAGCAGCCTTCCAATATCTAAAGGGGCTACAGGAAAGCTGGAGAGGGCTTTTTACAAGGGTGTGTAGTGATGGGACAAGGGGCAATGGCTTTAAACTGAAAGGGGAGATTTCCATTAGAGATAAGGAAGAAATTTTTTACAATGAGGGTGGTGAGGCACTGGAACAGGTTGCCCAGAGAAGTGGCTGCCCCATCCCTGGCAGTGTTCAAGGCCAGACTGGATGAGGCTTTGGGCAACCTGGTGTAGTGGAGGGTGTCCCTGCCCATGGCAGGGGGGGTTGGAACTAGATGATTTTTGAGGTCCCTTCCAACCCACACCATTCTGTGATTCTGTGATAAATGCTACAGCCACAACTCGATTCTTCATTCTTTCACTGCTATTGCTCAAAGACACCTCTTAGTATCTTCTCTGCCCATACGAAAATTCAGCACTAAAGGTGCTCACAGTGATTGATAACACCAATATTTTATTCATTGCCTGTTAACGTTCCCTAATGACATTTCCGTAATTATTTTAATTAGTTTTACAAAAAAGAATAATAATGAGTCCCCAACGCTTTTTGGTGTTTGGTTTAAGCCAGTCGCTCACAGATGGCTCACTACTTTTAATGAAGACATTTATTAGATTTTTGGGGGGATTGTAGTCACTTTCACTGCATCTCTACATCTAGAAAATACCTCTTCTTTTTCCCAAACCCACAATGATCCTAAGAAACTCCCAGTAAATACAAACCACTGGGAGCCAGCCAGACCTCCCATCCTCATTACCAACAGCCATAATCACACCTCTTTTTTATGTACACAAAGAGCTACCAAGCAAAGGTGGGGACAGCTAACTTGCCAGAACCTCTTCAGATGCTTTCCCCAAACATGCAATGGGGCAAAAGCAACCAAAATAGCAGATATGGGAAGAATGAGCAATATGCATTGCAGCTTGTGCAGGTGATTTTCTTACCATGTCATCACACGCTGACGCTCTGGGATATGAGCTTTATGCAGGCACGATACATGCTGTGTTCTCTCCTGGACATCTTCCTCTGCATTTCTTACTACATTGTTTTTCTGGATTTGAAATGAAACTAACTGCAACCCAGCCGCAGGGTAAGTTACGAGAGACAGTAATGTCTCCAGAAATGATATTTTTAATTTTCTAGCTTTAAAATAAGTTTCAGCAAGGGTCGTGACAGGGAACATGCGAGGAATAACTGCAGGAGAGTCCCAACCAGCCACATGGTACTTGTTTTGATTTGAGACGACCTTGTTTTGTGTGTGTAGAAACACACTGACTGGAGAAACCCAACTATAACCAAGGCCTTGCTGCTTCTAGTCTGCTCGTCCTTCCTGCTGCTAAAGTAGGCAAGTAGGAGCAGGAAGAGGCCAAGGTGGTCACGATAGAGAGCAAGGGAGATACAGGGGCATTAGGGCATCCAGCAGCTTTGAGGATATGGGGGAGTAGAGGCAAGCTGGAAGGAGATCCCATCGCACCCAAAGATTGATGTCAACCATGCCACCCTCCCCAGGACAGCCCAAAAGGATGTGGAATGCCTGGATCTCAGAGGCCAGATGGGGCTGGCCATGCAAGGGACCCAGCCCCATATACCGAGGGGAGAAGCAAGGGAGAGAGCAAAGGAGCCCTGCGTCCTGGGAGGCAGTGGCTGCACGCTCATCCCTCTCCATCCCCACACCTGTGCCCAGGCTCAGGCTAACAGAGGGGACCTTCTTGACTCAGAACATCTGGCTGCAGGTGTTAAACGTGGGGACTTGCACCCGGGGAAGGGGAATTAGGAATTTTATGTAATTGGAGCGGAAATCTCAGGCCATCAGTAGCACAGCACTGAACAGGAAGGAAAATGAAAAAGATCCTGCTGGTTGTCGCTCTGCGGGAGCTGAGACCCATCTCTCCAGCGTGTTGTTTATTTCCCTGGCTTGGCAATTTGGCAATTGCCCAAAGGCTAATTAGGCACCTCAATTTTCACTTTTGTGAGTAGCATCACAGTGAGGATTCAGGAAGAAGCAATATCAATAATTTCTTCACAAACAGCAAAAATGTTTGTGCTGCATTAAGTGCCTGAAGACAACTGGAAGCAAACTCTGCGGCTGAGCTGACTCATGAAAGTGAACCCAGCAGAACAAAAGCTGCCCTTCCCTTCTCTGCTACCCTTTAGACATCCTCTGTAAATCTGAGAACTGGTAGAGGTGGAAAGATTTCAAATCTCAGTTTTCAAGTTGAGGGGCAAAAGGAGCCTCTCAAAAATAAAGGAAAAAGATGCAGAATTTGCATTCAGGCCATTGCTTGAGTTTCAGACAAGCTTGAGTGCAGCCACTGTGCTTGGAGGCAATGGCTCATCTCACGAGGCTCCCTCTTACCTACGGCTACTAGGGCAAGGCAGGGATGACAAGGAAGCAGCATGAAACAAGGAGCAGTAATAACAAACACTGCAAGAAGGTTGAAGGAAGGAGGAAGCTTCTCTGGGTGCAAAAGCACAGGGCAAGGCTGAGCAGGAAATTCCTGCTTTTGTGAAAAAAATAACTAAACAAAATCTATATCTGCTTGTATTTTGGTTTAAGGCGAGTTGGGCTGGTACAACTGAGTGTTTCAGCACAGAGCTGCACTACGGAGCTGACAGGTTATATCCTCAGCAGCTGCATGAATTTCAGACACAAATTTATGTCTTGGATGGATACAGACGGTTATCTCTACAAGCAGTCTGCGTTTTTCATGATTTTTTTTCTGCTCTCCCCATACTTTCATATTTCCTCTCTATTATCTCCCTCTCCTTCTCGCCAGTGTCACCTGATAGAGCAGATCCTAAGCCAGGTAGGAGTGAGTCAGCGTTCAACTCAACGTTGGTCAGGTGGGTTCACAATTAGGCAAAATAAATGAGGACTCACTCCTGATAAAATGCAAGTACAGTGTAAAACACCCTAATGCCACTGATTTCTTACCAGATCCTTGGAAGTCTTCATAATCCTTTTTGCTTTCCTTATTGCAGTACTCAGCCCCACCTAGGAGAGCAAGAACAAAACATAAAAACCCACCAGATCAGCCTCACAGTATTCTACCTTTTTTTTTTTTTTTAATATATCAGTCACAGCACAAAAATGATGTATGAGTCCACAAACTCACCATCAGTTACTTTTTATTGGACTAACAATCAATTATCCGATCACTCCCTATGAAACTCCAGTTGCGAGAGTTCATTTATTTTGCTCCAGGGCATCATTTATTTCCTAAGGAAATGTCCAGATCGGTTAAAGAGCTGAGATTCATATCCTGCCTGCACTGCATGAGCTGCAGAGGACAGACTTCTCCAGTGACTCCTGCTGAAGAACAACTCATCCATTAGATGGTCAAAAGAGGGTGACACGTGCAGTGCTGGTTGGACTTGCTGTGGAGTCCAAGAGGAGACTCTTGGTCTTGCACGGATAGGGGTATTTCTCCAGCAGGGGAACAGCTGGTGCATGGGAAGGTAAAAAGCAGGGAATAGAGTTTGGAAGGCAAATCTCCTCCTTAGGATCTCAGAAGGTTAGCTTTTCACTCTGGAAATAGCTGCCCTGGAGGGCAAGTTCTCACTGACAGTGGTAAGACTGTTTTTCCACTGGGATCATGCAAAGTTTTGCTGAAGAAGCATTCTGGGATTTTTAAAAAATTAGGTACTTCTACATAAATAGAAAGGAAGAGTGGGAGAACCATTGCGAGAAAATACCTTGGAAAGGCATCTTTATGGAAGGAGAACAGGTCGGCCATGGTGAGGCCATGGGTTACAACTACTGGTGACACCCTAATAACTCCCCAAATTCCTTCCCCTTTACACTTGTTCTCCTCAAAGAAGGAGAAGAAATTTTGTGTAAGGGACAGCAACTGTGTGAGTGAGAACCAGGGACCAGCGCTGCTGGCGGAAGGAGAACGGATTTACCACGGCCAGGAACCACCAAGCACTGCTGAGGTCCTGCTCTCCAGCCTTCCTCTACGCTCTGCCATTGCCAAAAACTCGACCGATATATTTTTGCAGCCCACCTGGTCCACAGCCCTGGGTCTTGCTTGGCTGAAGGGAGCGAGCAGGGACTGGTTCTGCACCACGCTGTTGAGCATCTACCCTGCCCTTAAGAAACGTGGCCCATACCACAGCACAGAAGGACCACACTGATTCTCCTGCTACAAGGACTCTACTCATTGGGTTTTGGCAGGCTAACACCAGCGTCCTCCCTCCTGCTGCTCACTTTTGAACAATACTCTTCCATCTCAGTGATGATAATTCCATACAGTGTCCTGCTTTTATTAGGCCACCTTTGCAAACAGTCATATCCACGAGGCAGTATCTGTGTGATGGGCTCCGTCCTTCCCTTCAGCGTTCCTCATGAGGAAGGCTGAAGATACTGCCCATTTGCCCTCTTTCAGAAGGAGTAACTGCTTTTGTTCTGGAGGCTTTGAAGGCAGTTAAAATAAAAAATAAAATAAAATAAAA